GTTAAGGTTGAGATAAGGGGAGTTTGTGAATAGAGACCTTTTATAACACAAAGGTCGCCTCTAATAACCAGGGCAGGAAAACCACTCATTATGGCAAATAGTTCACGGGCAAGGGCACAGGTTTGTTTTAACCCTGCATATTTGCTCTGCCTGGACTTCTGCCCACAGGCTCTTAGGGAATCAAAGGCGGGGAAGGAAGGAAATGACACCCTCAGAGTGGCAGAAAGATGGCCCACAAACAAGGGCATGATAACAGGTGTGTCTGGATTGAGGCCCGGTACTATGATCTGGCTATTTTTCTCCTGCAGGAGTTTTTTATAGAAATCCAAGTGGCAGCCCCTAAAGGCCAAGCAGCTTGTCTAGCTCAACAATATCCTCAGAGCAGCCGGTGTAGCTCAGTGGTAGCACACACTTCTCACACACTTGGTATGTGTGTGCGCCGAAAAAGAAATAAAAACTTAAAAATATTTTCCTCCCACCCACTAATGTCTTGCATTTAGTAAATATGTAATAAGTGAACATTGAAGGAGTGTGTTCAGACCCTGGAGCCTCTGCTGAATCTCTCTTGTGAAAGTTTTCTGTATTTAAGAGAAAAAAAAAAAAAAACTTCTGATCTTCCATGGGACAAAATGAGACTGGGGCCCAGACCACGGTGAACCTTGGGGATGCGGGCTGCCTTCAGGGTTTACATTTGTTTTAACCCTGCATAGTTTCACACCAAGGTGCCAATGTCTGCAGCTACAGCCCAAGGGGTGGGGCTCGCTGATGCTGAAGAGCTGCTTCAGCTTTTTAAGTCTAAGTTCTGAAAAACAAATAAAACACAGCATCTTCTGCAAAATCAGCAGAAAAACAATTTCTCCATGAAAGCTTCTTCGACAAGAACAAGACAGAGTACCTTATTAGCTGAGACATCATTGTAGTATTTTCACCAAAAGAACTGTGGAAACCTCCACTGGCTTTAGTATATTTATTTTTATTGTATTTTTTGGCTTGCCATCTTTAGGAGAGATGGGGAGAAAGACCTCTAAGAACGAGCATACATTCAGACTTCATAATTATATTTAATCCATATTTGTATTCTAGTCCTAAACAAATAAAAACTGGAGTTAAAAACAATGGCTCTACAATACTGACAATAACTCAATTATCCAGAGAAAACTTCCGATTACATGGAGTTTGTTCCTTATTACATATTACATTAAGAAGATATGTAATAATGCCAACTTGGAATGGCAGTCACATAGGAATTTTGTGGGGATTTACACCCAAATAACATAAATCACCTAAATGAGTCAGGATCATGGACCTGAATGACATTTTGGAAAAGTGCCCTCTTGTGGCAAAAATATGGAATTGCCACATAGCAGTTTTGTCCTGATATCAAAAGTACTAGAGGAAGGGTAGCTGTGATTTATCCGGCATTTAATACATTTCAGGGACCGTCCTGGGTTTTTCCTGGAAATAAGATAAAGGACTTAATAAAGGAAGTGTCAAGGGCATAAGAGAATCAGAAGTCTTTTATTTCAAGTGAGCTCAAGCTGTCATTTATCTCCGTGAGTTCTGTGGTTCAGATCTTGAGTAGCCCCCGTAGGCCCATGTGCTAGGGGCTTGGTCCCTAGCTTCATGTGGTAACTCAAGCAGATGGGGCTTAGGGGAAGGTCTTTGTGTCACTGGGGGCTATGCTCTCCAAGGGATTATGGGAACTCAGTCTCTTTCCATTTTTTGCTTCTTGTCCAGGAGGTGAATCTTATTACCTTACCGCGTGCTCCTCCCTAGAGCCTCACCACAGTCTCCAAGCGATGGCCCCAGGCAATCATAGACTAACATCCCTGAAACTTCGAGCCAAAATAACTTCTCCCCTCTCTTTTTAAAAATGTTTCAGTGCAAAGGATCAAAGTAAGGCCTTCCACGTATGTTAGCACTCAACTACTGAGCTACACCCCAGCCTAACTTTGACTCTTTATAAGTTGATTTATCCGAGGTTATTTGTTATAGTGACAGAAAGCTAACACACAGTTTTCCCCCTTGTGTCTACCTGAAAACAGCATATTTTCCCGCTCCTTTATTGATTGTACTTCCTTGGAATTCTGAACAGTGATCAAGAAAACTTGTAAGTCATACTTCATTTCCTGCTCACAGTTCTCTAATTTCAGGTTAGCAAAAATGAAAAGAGAAGACCCCCCAAAAAATGAAGCAACACACACACACACACACACACACAAAAAAAAAAACTGGTACAGGAGATGGAGAGAAATACAACTTAATACATTATAAAAACCTCCAGAAGTCCCAGGATCTTTAATTCAAACAAATTTACTTAACATCTGTGACTTGAGAGGCATTTAATGAACAGGAAAACACATATTTATATCACTACAATTTGTGTTTTTCAGTTACCTCCTCTATCCCCAGCTCTTTCAAGTTCTCTATGTGTCTTACACAGTCAGTTTCTGTATGTTAGCACCGCATCTGATAAAACTGGTGGTCCATTCTCGAACGGTTTGTTGAGTAGTGCCAACGCTTACCACAAATCAGGCCTAGGAGACAAATATGTGCACATATTCAGATTCTGAGTGCTCAGCCCTTTCCTTTGAGTCCAGCACGGCCATGCAGACAGCAGCTGGCGGATCTGGACCTCTGCGGATCTGGACCTCTGCGTCTCGTGGCGGGGATTCGCTCATCTGGGGCAAACTGTGACTTCAAAAAAATCCTAGTAGCTCCCGGCTGGTCTCTCTCTCTCTCTCTTTTCTTTTTTTCCACTGCACTTTTTTTTTTATTGGTTGTTCACAACATTACAAAGCTCTTGACATATCATATTTCATACATTAGATTGAAGTGGGTTATGAACTCCCAATTTTACCCCAAATGCAGATTGCAGAATCACGTCGGTTACATATCCACA